TTAATCATCCTAAACAGAAGAACGGAACCCACCTTCATGGACTGCAGAAGACGTGAAATTATAGACTTAACCTTGTGTACGAGGGGAGTGGCTGACCTGGTGAGAGACTGGAGAGTCTTAAACGAACCTTCGGGATCGGATCACAAGCAGCTACGTTTTGCGCTCGAGCACAGGGAAAAGGGGAATTGGGGTCGCAACCCCAGAAACACAAACTGGACGAGCTACAGGAGGGACCTTGGCACCATTCTGAAAAAAGCCCCGTCCAGATTCAATACAAAACAGGATCTAGAAGTGGCGTCGCAGTTTGTCAGCGACGCTATCATAGAGGCCTACGAAGCAAACTGCCCACTAAGGCAGAAACAAGTCTCAACTAAGATCCCATGGTGGAACAATGAGCTTATTAAGCTCAGGGTTGAGACAAGAAGGCTTTTCAATAGAGCAAGGAAGTCAAAAGCAGAAACTGATTGGGCAGCTTTTAGGAGCTCCCAACGGCGATATAGCAAAGAAATCACAATGTCAAAGAGGAGGAGCTGGAGGAAGTTCTGCGGGAGCGTTGAAAGTTCTCCGGAGATATCCAGACTCAACAAAATCCTCAGCAAAGACAATTCACCTCAACTGGGATATCTGAAGCTCCCGGATGGAAGATACACTGAATCAACGGAGGAGACACTGAGACACTTGATGTCCACTCACTTTTTCGGGATTCAGAGAAAATGTCACGATTCAGGGCAACAGAGACGAGGATCAATCAAGGGAACCTCGTGTGACCAAAGAATGGTCCCTCGCGGCCAGAATCGTACAACCGAGCGGGGTCAAATGGGCAATAGAAACCTTTGAGCCTTATAAGGTACCGGGACCGGACGGCATTTACCCGGCACTCCTAAGGGAGGGACTGGAGGTGCTGACAGGTCCACTAATAAAAGTACTCAGGGCTAGTATAGCCCTGAGATATGTACCACAAACTTGGAGGGAGACGAGTGTAGTGTTTATCCCTAAACCAGGCAGAAACGGTCATATCTTGGCCAAGGATTACAGGCCGATCAGCCTTACATCATTTATTTTGAAAACAGTAGAGAGGCTGGTAGACAGACACCTGAAGACAGAACCCTTGGTCTCTTGCCCACTGACCACAACTCAATACGCTTATAGGGAGGGCAGGTCGACCGAGACTGCCCTACATCACCTTGTAAGCGGAGTGGAGGGACAGCTGGAAGCCAAGGGATACGCCATAGGAGTCTTTATAGACATAGAGGGAGCTTTTGATAGCACCTCTAACAAGTCTATCAAAGAGGCAATGTACAGAAACAAGATCCCAGAGGCGATCGTGGACTGGACACAAAGCATGCTAACGGGCAGAAGTCTAACCGTAAGCCTGGGTGAAAATTCAGTTGGGGGGAGTCCGGCTGGGGGCTGCCCGCAGGGGGGCGTAATCTCTCCCCTGCTGTGGTGTCTAGTGGTCGATGACCTTCTGGCTGAATTAAAAGAAGCAGGATTCCTGGTATATGGCTACGCGGATGACGTGGCCATTATTGCCAGAGGAAATTTCATATCGATCCTCAAGGAGAGGATGGATGCAGCCTTGAGGATAGTTCAAACCTGGTGCAGAAAGAAGGGACTGTCGGTCAATCCATCTAAGACTTCGGCAGTGGTCTTCACCAGGAAATACAAACCCGAACACATAGAGCCACTAAAGCTCTGGGGCAGGGAAATAACTTACACAAGCTCGGTGAAGTATCTTGGAGTGATCCTGGATGCTAAACTGAGCTGGCTGCCAAACCTCGAGGAGAAGAGAAGAAAGTTCTATACCACCATGTGGGCTTGTAGAAGAGTAATGGGTAGAAACTGGGGGCTTCAACCCAGGGCTGCCCTTTGGCTGTATAGGACGGTGTTGCTGCCAAGACTAACCTATGCAGCAGTAGTATGGTGGCCGAGAATGGAGAGCGTGAGGGCCAGGAACCTGCTAAAAAGCCTTCAGGGTAGTTATCTGAGGGCTATGACAGGGACCATGAGAACCACCCCGACGGAGGCGCTGGAAGTAGCTCTCTGCTGCCCACCTCTCAGTCACCTGATAAAATACCAAGCCAGGAGAACGGCTTATAGACTTAGATGTCAGGAGGAATGGAAAGATACCGGTCTAGGACACACTAGACTGGGACTCTCTCAGAACTACCCCTTCATGTTAAAACAGGATAGAATTCCAAGAAAACATCAGTTGGGGAAGAAATTTAAAATTTTAATACCAACTAGGGACGACTGGAATAAGTCTAAATTACTAGCTGATCCAAAAGTGGATCTTTGGTTCACAGACGGATCGGGTGCAAATGGTCGGTATGGGGCAGGAATCTATGGGCCGAAAAGAAACCATAGAGAAAGCATACCTCTGGGCGGGCTGGCCACGGTCTTTCAAGCCGAGGT